ACACACAAACATAACCACCACAATGGCTAACTGCCATATTTTTTAATTGCCAATGTTGCTTAATCTGTGGAAGGATTACCAAAGAGGAATGAGGAGCTATAACTTTAACTTTCTTCTGAGCCAAGGATGTTGTCAAGTAGTGCCACACAACTGGAGACAGTGTAGTCATTTATGAAATTCAAACCTTTGAGGTATAAGCTTTTAAGAAATATGTTTGGCAGTCTTCCTTTCCTGGAAATACTTGTTATTTGGGTATTTAATAATGGGGAAAATTTGAACACAACCAAACAAAGGGTCATTCATGCTTTTTGGTAAAATCTGAGGTCTGGACAGATTAACATTGTCCTGGCACTTTTTGAGATTTCTACCTTGTCAACCAGGTATATTTCATCAGATTGTCTAAGCAGAACATGAGGAACTTAGAGGCTTTGGTGATGTAAAGTCAGCCAACAAAGACTGAAACTTCCATTTCTCAGCAAGTCGTCTGGGACAGAGCTTTGAACTGTACACAGAAGCTTCTCCTTTCCTTCACCCCACAAAACAAATGAGTCTCCCAGACCTCATTCCACTGAAAAGTAATGACAGTGGATAAAGTCAAGCATAAGGTTTAGCCCAAACCTTCAAATCCATGCTCACCTGTGGAAGAACCATTAAACGAATACCTTTCTTTTCCAAATGAATTTGTCAAGACTTGTCAAGTTAGAACTGACAAAAGAGTAAGCAAGCAACCATAAACCATTAGGTGCGAAAGGGAACGTATTGGCTTGTGTAAACCATGAGTACAGAAGTAGATCCTGATTTCATGAACAAAAGGCTCTAGGCGTTCAAATGAGGCTGTGAGGTCTCCATCCCTTTTCTGCTTTCCTCTGGGAAAGTCACTCTCAGCAGGTTCTTTCTTCATGGAAACAAGATGGCTGTCCCAGTGGGTCCTCTGGAAGCCCGGTGGGAGGGGCTGCTTTCTCCAGCTGCCCTTGTAGTAGCACTGAGATTGCGCTTCATGAGACTGGCTCTTACGTTGGTTCCCTAAGCCAATTACTGTGGCCAGGTGTGCGTGTTGCAGTGCAGGGGGAGGGGTGAAGCACAAGGATTGAGCTGGGCATGGGGTGGGTCCCCACGGAAAGTAGAGGCTCTGCTATCAGAAGAAAGGACAACTTTTTCCTGATCTGTTTTCTATTAACATTTGACAATTGTTACTTGTTTTCTTGTTGTTGACAATATACACATAACATTCATTCATCCATTTAAACATGTGCAGTTCCGTGATGGTGATTACGTTCCTGTTAACAGTATTTTCATTGCAGGGGCGCCGGTGTGTGTTGAAAGACTGTTGCAAAATTCTTGACAACACAGTATTACCCCCAGAAACTGTGGTCCCACCATTCACCGTCTTCTCAGGCTGCCCAGGTAACGTTGGGTGTCAAGTATTTTAATTTTTAGCCTCTTCAAAACTCAGGTTTACCTTCCATCACAAAAGTAATATGTGATTCTGTCTCTAACAGTATGTTGGTCTGTCTAACTTAAAACATTCTCTTGCTAAAATATTCCAAGAAATGATACCTAAAACATAACAAACTCGTCTTAAAACGCATAATTGGAGTCACAAGAAAATAAAATTATTAAGGGTTGAAAAAGGAAAAAAAGAGAAGAAACTTAACCCAAGCTGTGAACATGCCTAGGAGATGACAGCTTCTTGCTGGGAAGGTTTAGGGCTTTATACATGCGTGGGTGTGGGGATGAAGCCTTGGATCCTGGCAACTGCCTGGTAGGTAGTTGAGCTCACATCTTCAAATACCGGCAGTAGACTTGAAGGCCTCAATAAAAGGTCAACGTAGAACAAATCTGCCCACCAGCACAGGAAGGTACAAAGAAGCTTGTCTTTCTTGGCCTGGGCTCTGGGTGGGAAAAGAAAAAGTCTCTCTAGAGAGTTGTAGCTAAGACTTGCTCTATCACTGGTCAAAACCCAAAAAAACCAAACTCAATGCCATTGAGTCAATTCCAATCATAGCGACCCCCATTGGGTTTCTGAGGAGATGAATCTCTACGCAAGTAGATCGCCCCATCTTCCTTCTGCGGAGCAGCTCGTGGGTTTGAACCACCAGCCTTCTGGTTAGCAGTCAAATGCCTGAGGTACTACACCACCAGAGCGCCTTCTCATTGGTCAAGGAATCCCCAAATCGAAAAGTAAATGTAAAATGTGCCTGAAACTAACAGTTCCCTGTGACACCTGACATAAGCAAACGCATCACCTCTCGACTTGGCTGACAGAATGCTCACAGGTGAAACCCCACCCCCATCCTCTCAGAGCTCCAAATTAAAAACATGTCAGGAAATAGGCTTTAGTCATGCATGCTCATCCTAGAAAAGTTGGGAAACACTAAAAAGCAGAAGGAAGAAAACTCTCACGCTGTCCTCACCCAGCCTAGTACATCCACTGCTCCTGTTCTGCCCATTTTCCATAACAGTCTCTTTGCTTCTACATGCTGTTTCATGCAGTTGAAATCACAAAGCACGGACGGGAGAGTCGCGTACAGAAATTCACAGATGGAGGTTGATAGGAAGAGAGATTGGCTAGATTTGATATACTATCAACTGCTGGGTGGTTTAATTGTTTTTTTCAATTAAAAAAATCCAATCACTCAGATCATTGAATTTGAGTTGCAAAGATGTACAAACTCATTACTCAGATTCTTTAGGGAGGAAATTGGCCATTATGTTGTTTCATGCATCTCTGCTTTTCAGAGAGAAAGAAGAGACTTTTGTCTGGTAGTTCTCCCCATCTGCCCTGTTGTTTGTTGTGGTTGTGACTCACAGTGATCCTATGTGACAACGGAGACCTGCCCTGTAGGGTTTCTGAGGCTGTAATCTTTATGGGAACAGATTGCCAGGTCTTTTCTCCCACGGAGTGGTTGGTGGGTTCAAACCACTGGCCTTTCTGTTAGCAGCCAAGCACATAACCACTGCACACTAGGGCTCCTAATTCTGCTGATACTGGGTTCCAGCTGCAGAAGAGTTCCGCTGTTCTTAGCAAGAACATCTGCTGGTTGTTTTAAATGACTGTCAGACAAGCATCTGATCTGAGGTGAGAGGGATAGTGCCAGAGAATTATCTTAGTTTTCATTTAAAAACTTACTCAAGAGCATTAGAACCAGTGCTACTGAGCACGGATGGCAGAGGGCAGGAAGCATTACTTGCTTTTGCAGTCCACATAAACACTTCTTGGAGGTTATGGCAGAGCATTCAAGCTGCATGAATGGGAAAACGGAAGCTTAGAGAGCTTGGGTTGTTAGAGGGGTCGGTTGGGAAGTGGGGAAGTCTTGAGTAGCACCAGAAAACCCAAACTAAACCCACTGCCATCGAGTTGATTCTGCTTCATAGCCACCCCCATTGGGTTTCCAAGGCTGTAAATCTTCATGGAAGTAGATCATCTCATATTCCTTCCACGTAGCAGCTGGTGGGTTTGAACCGCTAGCCTTCTGGTTAGCAGCCAGATCTCTGTGATTTAGTGTCCAGTGCTTTTAGCCCTTCCCATGTGCCAGGGTATCTCCCATGTTGATGTTTTGTTGTTTTCAAACAAATGCTGCCCTTCTGGATACTGCTGTGGCAATCTCCACCTTTAACACAGAGACAGGGCTGCAGGGAGGCTGGCACAGGTTGGGAGGCAACACAGCATGAAACTGGGTTGGAACAAAAGGAAAGGCAAACCATCCAGAAAGGGGCTGGCTTAGGAGCCCAAACCTCAGATGCCTTCAGGATCCAGGTGATAAGATAAAGGATTGGAGTGGTGGCTGTCATAGCTGTCAGAAGTGGGCCTAGTATTTTGAGGTCTTCTGAGATCTTCTGATCCTCTTAAGGAGCTAAAACTCTGAATTTTTCTATAAAATCTCAAAACTTTTAAATACTGGCTACTAATTTTTAAAAACTTGTTAAATATTGTGCAGACCCAAAGTATGTGTATAAGTCTAACACTGGCAGCTCATTTACCAAGGGTGCCTGTGAGAATTTCATATTTTTTAGTCTTTTTTTCCACCCTGTGTGCTGTATGTTTGTAGATGAATGTGCATGTGTGTATATAATATGGACACAGGAAACTCTTGATGCCTACGTAAACAAAATCACATTCTCTGTACTACTCTCTAATTTACTTAAAATTAACAGTATCTCTTGGATATCTTTTCTTGTCCCTGTGTAGAAACTCACCTCGTTCCTTTTAACGGTTGCATGTTTTTTGCCAAAGTGAAAGCCATTATTCTTTAGAGAAGGCAAACGGTAAACAATAACAGATTCTTACGTCACTGGGTAGGTGCACAGTGGCTCAGGTCAGATGCTGGGTTCACGGCACTGCCGCCTCCGGCTGCCACCGTGCTGCTCTGGGAGCCTACATGGTTCCCGAGGCTTCTGTGCTGCTCGGCCTCTCCGGCCTCTGCAGCCATCTCCTGCCGTGCTGCCAGGTTCACCTCGTGGGGAGGAAGGCATACAACTCCTGCCTGGGGCGCACTCAGGTCTTCTTGCCCTGAGCAAGTGTTATGACTCTTTTAGATGCGCAGGCAAGCCTCCTCCCAGGGGCATTCGTCTTTGCTCTGCTATAGAAGACCTGCACGGGGCTACTCAGGCCTCTGCCCTACATGGGCAGCTGTTACAGCTCTTTTAGCTTCACCAGGAAGCCTCCTGCCTGAAGGTGCTCAGCGGTCGTTCTGTGGGCCAGCAAGCCCACTGCAGTCGCCTTGCTCTGTGAGCCAGCAAGCCTGCCACCACTGTCTCTCGCCATCTTGTGCCATCTTCAGTGTTACAGCTCTCTTCTGGGTTTAGGAAGTTCTCAGCACAGGGACCTTGGTTCAAGGGACACACCTTACTCCAGACTCTTCTTTTTTTATTTTTTTTTTCAAATTTTATTGTGATTTGTGTGAAAGTTTACAGAGCAAATTTCTCTTCTGTACAGCAGTTCACAAACACTTTGTCTCATGACATTGACTGCAGTTTTCCACAATGCAATAGCTCCCCTCCCACTTCCTCCCCATAGTTACATATTCCTTGTGTCCTTCCCGCCCATGCACTCCTGCCCTCTGTGCTGTCTCTCTCTGCATACACAGTCCTTCTATTCTCCCATGATTGACTCTGCAAGGAGTTGGCCACCTAATGTAAATGTTCAGCTCATATGCCGGTCTTTTGTTGGGGTGGCAGCCACAGGAGTGAGTTCAATTCCACACCTAAAGGGCAGCTTGGGGCCATAGTCTCGGTGGTTCCACCAGGCTCTATTGGACCAGCAAACCTGGTCCCCCCCCCTTTTTTTTTTAATGATTTTGAGTTGTGTTTCACATTGTTCTTCCACTCTATCTAGGATCTCTTACATAGATCCCCCTCCGAATGACTGACAGTGGTAGCTGGGCACCATCTAGTTCTTCTGGTCTCATAGTCGTATAGACTGAGGATCATATGGTATACCAGTCCCTTGGACTAACTGTTTCCATACATCTTTGGTTTTCTTCATTCTTCTTAGCTCTGGACGAGGAGAGACCCATCATTGCATCTCCACTCCAGACTCTTCTTGATGATAGTGAAGTCCCCCTGAACCTCTCTAGGGTTGGTTTTTATATAAGACTACTCCTTACGAGTTTCAAAGCATGGTCCTCCCAGTAGTACCATGAACTTACCAGTGCCCTCAGGAGACTGTAAGTCACTCAGTTTGTGTAGTCCCAGAAAATTATTTTGTAGAAGTTATAAGACCATGGCAAGAAAGGCCATATGAAAGATTCCTTGCACCACATGCAGTCTAGTGGCTTCTCCTGCATTCATTAAAAACCAGTTGCCATCCAGTTGATTCTGACTCATTGTAACCCCCTGTGTGTCAGAGTAGAACTGTGGTCCATAGGATTTCTTTCTCTCCACTGCCCCTCCCCCCCATTTATTGTGGTTTTGGTGAAGGTTTACATAGCAGTTGAGGCTCCCATTCAACAATTTCTGCACAGATTGTTTAGTGCCATTGGTTATGTTCTTCACAACACGTGAACATCCTCATCATTTATGTTGTGGTTACGTGGAGCTCTGGTGGTGTAGTGCCTAAGGTATTTGACTGCTAACCAGAAGGCTGGCGGTTCAAATCCACCAGCCACTCCTCAGAAGGAAGGTTAGGCAATCTACTTCCATAGTGATACTGCCTCGGAGACCCAAGGAGGGATCTCTGTGAGTCAGATCTGACTCAATGGCAGGGAGAAATGAAAACCAGCTGTATCTAATTAGTGTCCTAGTATAATGGATCATTATAAACTGTACGTATTTGTCACCATTAGAGTCTTCACTGCATTGAACACTCTTTACTGAACCTGTCGTCATGGAGTTGTGCAAGAGTCCCTGTGGGATAAACTTGTAGAAGTTGTTTTCAGGTCCCAGCATATGAACGTTTGCGTTTTTGCTGGATACAGTAAAACCTGCAAAAGCTGGAATCTGTGACAGGGAAATGTGCCAGAAGAGGAAAAAGCAAACGTTTCCCACTAATCAGAGCAGTAGCAGAGGGTAAGACTGCTCCCTTGCTCTGTCAAAGACAGAAAACTTGTCTGAGATCTGGAAAAACAAGGCAGGCCCATTGAATTCCAGCTCACACAGTTTCACTGTGTTTCTCAGTTGCTCCCCAGAAAGGCTGGGTGAATGTCCGCTCCCACCAGTAGTGTATGAGAGTGCCTCTCATACAGAAATTCGGAAGTATGTCTTTTGTCCTTCATTAGGACAGGTCTGTTCCACTCTCTTTGATGATTTATCTCTGTCTAGCATATTGGGCATTGCACTCAGCCTTGTTGTATGAACAGCAGGCAGCCTTTTCCCTCATGGGCCCTGACTTGGACTCGCTCAGTAGACGTCACACCTGAAGCCTGCGGGTGGATGAGCCTTTCTCTGGAATGACACTGATGTAGCCAGAGGCGCTAAACTCTTCAGGTCATGTCATAGTGTACTAGCCTCTCTCAGTGTGTTTCTTCATTTTGGGAACTGTGTTACTGGTTTCACACACACACACAATACGCCATCAAGAAGTTACAGTCAGAATGTTCTATTGGTACTGAAGGTGGATAACCTAGCATTCAGACACTGGTGACTAAAGACAATGGCCTTTTAGGGGTTTAAACAGCAATTGGCTGCAGGCCTTCCATGGCACCACTGGTTGACCAGGTCTTTCTCCCCCCAGGACTCTTCTCAGGGGAGCTTCCAGAGTGTACCCAGGAGCTGATGATTGATGTCACCAAGAGCTACTACCAGAAGTTTCTGCCCCTGACACAAGTCTAGTCTCTGCCTCATGTCTTGAATTTGCTTGAGCTCAAAGATGAACTTGGGGACAAAGTGAGCCAATCAGCATCTGCGAAGACACCTCCAACCCACCCTCTTTTTTTTTTTTTAAATTCTTCAGAATTTTTCAATCCTTCATGTCTCTAAGCTCTTAAAAATTTAATAACAAAACATCCAGAGGCGTTATCTCCAAATGCTGTGCTCAAATTTTATTCATACCCATATCTTCGGAATGCAGAATCGTCTGTTCCCAGCCCCACCCCCCTCGGTCCTGTGGATGGATAGATCCCGCCTGAAGCAGGCCAGCCGAGCAGGAGTGCTTGGTGTGAGCTTGGAGGTCAGGTAGTCGGTATCCTACTCAAGGCCTCAGGCTGTCCCTGTGAGCTCACAGTCACGTAGCTCTCCCTCCACTTCCCCACAGGTGACACAGTGGCCACTGGCCACCGTTGCTCATCATCCTGGGAAAGAGTGTTGATGACTTTTCAGAACCTATGTTCCTGCTGGGCACTAAAACTTGAAGGGAGGGCTGGTTACTATTTCTCTTATTCCCCACATGACCTTTGCTGTCCCCAGGTGGTCCCCAGGTGGCTAGCAAGAGGCTTCCTAGCACTGTGTTGTTCAGTGTTGGTCTTCACTGAAAGGAGGGACCTCAGCCCCCCATGTTTTGTTTTACAGGGTCCCAGTTTCCGCTTCCCATGTTGACAGGCCAGTTTGGCAGTCTGTCCTTGTCGGAAGCTCTTTGGGGCAGGACTGTGTGCCTTGTTTCATTGAAGACAGCATTTTAGATTCTTGCTGTCTGGCCTAGAACCATTCAACCCACCCTGTAGTCACTGTAACCCCACAGCTCAGACCAAATCATCTGTACTTGGACCCAGACACAGATGGACTTGTGGGACTTTCAGAATTGTCTTGTGGACATAGGGCCCAAGGATTAAATGGAGTTGCCAGTGCTGTTCTTACCCCCTTTCTCTAGTCATACAACCCTTCCTGGTTCTGCTCTGACCTTTGCTTAAGAAGGAAGATGGAGATGTGAGAGGCTGAGAAGGTTGGCCTTGCTTAATACCTGATTCTTCTGTAAACAAATAGTGTGGATCCCCTCAGCCTTCAAGATTAGAGTCTAATGGGGGCCTTCTTGACTTGATGTCCTGCTGTAGGGTTTGCAAATACAGCTGTATGTCATTATCTCTGCTAGCTTAATGTAAATTGCTTTCTGGTCTGTCACTTTTTTTGTGTTTGTACATTAAAAGAGTCATCCATGGAAGAAATCCTCTAGAGATGTGGTTTGTCTTCCTTAACAACATTGCTGTGTGCTGGGGGTGGGCTGTGCATATTCATAAGGTTTGTCATTTCTCACCACAGCTCAGTGAAAACCAAACCAAACTCATTGCCATCCAATTGATTCTTACTCATCGGGACCACCATTGGATTTCCAAGGCTGCACATCTCTAGAGAAGAAGACTGCCTCATCTTTCTTCTGCTTTGCAGAAGAGGGGGTTGTCGAACGACTGACCTTATGTATAGTGGCCAAATGCCTTAACCACTACGCCACCAGAACTCCTTACAACTTGGTAAGGTGGATGCTATTTACAGATTTTTTCAGATGTGAAAGCAAACTCCAAGACAGGGTAGGTGCTACCCATCAGTCAATGAAGAGGGAGCTGACCCAGGAGTCACGCCCATGTCCATCAGGCTCCATGGACTGTGCTCATCAGTCTGTCCTAGAAAAATGAGACACACTTGTCCTTGGATCACATCTGCTTGTGTCCCAAACAGTGCTAGGAGTCTGGTGGCTGCAAGTGTTTTTGGTCTCATGCTGCCGTCTCCCCTAGCTCCCTTCTCCTTCCATGCCCCAGGCTAACCTCTGGCTCGCTGCAGAAACCTTCTAGGGCATGCCTCGCAGGTCTCCATCCAGCTTGTTTGAAGCCTCCAAAAGCAAGCTAGCCGTGTTCCGTGACTGTCCTGTGTCAATATCCAGAATCAAGAAAGTGTCTGAGCATGTATGTGGTGGTGGCATTGTTTTAGCCTTTTACCGCAAACATGATTTAAAAAATCTTTAAGAAATTCAAGTGCAGGATTTTAAAATCCTATTAATAAAGGAGGAGAAGGGTGTCTATAATGAAGTACATTTTCTCAGTGCAGAGACCCAGTCCCACATCCTGCTTCCCAGTGTAAGGTTTGGTCGATCCTACCAGAAATACAGTCGTTGCGATGCCCAAGCAGAGCGTGTGTGTGTATACACTGACGTTGCTTTTTATTCAATGGGAGCACAATATTTATATGGTTCTACACCTTGCTGCTTTTACTTAATGTATTTTGATGATTGTATCAGATTAGCACATACAGGTGATAATAATAGCAATTGCTAACGTGTATAGAACATCTACCAGGTACTATTCTGAGGGTTTTTTTTTTTTTTTTTTGACTAATTCCTGTAATCCTCAGTAACTGTAATGTACAATTATTATTCCCAAGGTACATAGGTTAAGTAAATTGCTCAAATTGTACAGCTAATATAATACTGAATCCAGGCATTTTGTCTCCACAGTCCCTACTTTTAATCACTTTTTTGTAATTCCTCCATGTTATAACACCTTTCATGGCCCCAAATTGTGTCTTCTGGCCAGCCCTTGCTTTACAGGAAACTAAGAAAGTTGAGTATTTTGCTTTGCTGCGAATGCAAGACAGAGGGATATTGTAAATGGGTATTGGCTGAATCACTGTGTCTGCCGTAGCAGGAAGCCTCGTGTCTCCGCTGAGAAGACTGTCTCCTTGCGTTGTGCCCTTTTGGTCTTGCAGCCACAGTTGTGGCCCAAGTAGTTAAATGGGAACAGGTTACTTGGGAGTATTGTCCTGCTTGTAGTCATTAAATGGTGTCTTAAAATTCTATATAGCGTGGTTGGCACTCTACAGAGGAATATGCAAAATACACAAAAATTCAGTTAGAACACTTTGTTGCAAGTGACAGAAATCCAGCTTGAACCAATTTAGCCAAAAAAGGGGATTGTATTGGCTTATACAACAGATCACAGAAAGGACAGGCTTGAGATGCAATGAAGTGGGCTAGTTACTCAATCACCTATGCCCTGGTGTCCTAAACTGTACAGTGGGAATAACAGTAACACCACATACAGTTGGTGTAGATTAGATGAGTCACGACTGTTTGTAAACATTAAGGACAGTTCCTGTCACTCAGCACTCCAGCTGTTATCATTGCTGGTTAAAGTATATCCAGGAATTTAAACCTCATCAGGGCATTGACTGGGATGGTGTAACAGAGAGATTGCCAAAATACAGTGGCTCAGACAGGATGGAAGTCAATTTCTCTCACACCCAACAGTGCAGAGGTAGGCAGGTGGCCCAGGCAGGTAGGTGGGCCACAGTGTCATTCAGGCCCTAGGTTTTTACTATCTTGTCATGCGGCCACTCTTACCTATGAGGAAGGTTGTCAATTTAGTCTCTAGATGGGTAGCCGTGTGCCTAGGCCAAACTCTGTGGCAGGAGGTTCTAGTGTTAAGAGAAAGGAAGAATTGACACGGGGACAGCAGCCGCAGGCACCCCATACCATGAGCCGGCTTCCTTTTCTCCTGCGTGTGGGCTTATCCACGCTTTGGGGCTCATGACAGCTGACAGTTCCCGACATCTGTCCTCCTAGCTTGGTGAGCCTGAAAGAAAGGTTTCTTTCCTTCCAGTTTGAATTTGGAGAATCCCAAAGAAAAGTTCTCAGTGGCTTGTCATGAGCCACATGCCATCTTGGCTCAATCATAGTGGCCATGGGGATATGGTCCTATGATTAACCCAGTCTCCATGCCCCCATGGTGCAAAAGAAACACTCTATTATGAGAAAGAAGGTGCTGGGAAGACAAAAACAAGAGCCATCACGAACGGTGAGCGAGTCTGTATCATGTGCTGATACTGTTTAAAGGTGTGTTGACTGTTGTGAGCGTGCTTCCTAGAAAAGGCTAGCTGGACTCTGTTTCCATGGTGGCTCTTACCCCTGGGACAGTCTGTTACCAGACCAATTACCTTTATAACCCCAGGAAAAGAAGTCTCTTTGTCCCTTGAATGCTCCCAGGAGAGCCGGCCAACTGGAAATCCTGGCTTGGGACTCTTCCCAGTTGTTTCAGGGCAAAGGGGATGTAATGGCTCATGCAGCTGAAAAGGCCAGGGCTAAGATG